AGATATAAAAAGGAATGGAAACAAATATTGGGATTCGTCTTCTGGATAAGAATGCCAAGTTAGTCTTTCTTCATAGAAAGCAATTACAATTTGAGGACACTTCTTATTTGCCTCTTGCCAGCACCAGAATCTGAATCTTTCCATTTCATGAGAAACATTAACTCTCCACTGCTGTCGGTGGCACCAATTATTCGTTCAGGATCAAGACCTCTGGCAAAGCCTCTTGGTTTATCAGCAGCATCTCTTTTCTTCTTTGATTTGCTATCATCAGATTCACTGTCAGATAAAGACTTTCTTTTTGTACCATCTTTTTCTTTACCAGCTTTTTGAGAATTAAGAAATGCTTCAATTAACTCTGGACAATCTAAATTTTCTTCAGGTTCCCAAGTATTGTCAGCATCTGTGAATCCTTTCCACTTCAGGAAATACTCCACCTTCCCATTCACTACACATCGATCCAGTACTTTTCCACTACAAATTCTTCAGGCTCTGCCTCTTCAACTTTTTTACTCTTTCCATCTGTTTCTTTCCCATTTTTTGCAATGTAGTTTTATTGGAGGCCATTTTTTATTGCAGACTCAAAGCGCTATTACTCAACCGCCTCCATGCAGCTCCGCATCCCATGTCTCCGGCTTCTCCGGTGTCTCTGGCCCTGCATGCCTTCAGCTCCCTATTTTTTAATATTTTTATTGATTTCAGAGAGGGAGAGAGAAACATCAATGATGAGAGAGAATCATTGATCGGCTGCCTCCTGCACGCCCCGCACTGGGGATCAAGCTCGCAACCTGGGCATGTGCCCTTGATCAAACTCGAACTCGGGACCCTTCAGTCCTCAGGCCGATGCTCTACCCACTGAGCAAAACCAGCTAGGGCCCATTATTTTTTTACTTTTTTTCTTTACATAGTTGCAATCATTTTATATATACATACACAAAAATTTTATATTCTGGGTTTTTTTTCACTGTAAGATATTCTGTCATTAATGAAAGGATGCTTCATTTCAAGCTAACCTCTGCGGGATGCTGGTGCTTGTTCCTACCTCTCTTTCCCTAGTCTTCATCCTTTTTTTGATAGATGTAATAGGGGTGATATAGAGGAATAGTGAAAGATAGACTCTGAGACATAGAGATTAGGGAAAAGATTCTCAAAGCCCTTAGTCTTGGTGTCAGGTGCTAGGAATAGGACAGAGAATCCCAAGTGGCATTCATCCAAAAACCCCATGCAGTATAGATTTTAATTTTCATTATCCTCTCTCTCTGCAGCAACTATAGTTTCTCAACAGATGGTTTCAGTGGTTCAGGAGGCAGTGGCAGCCATGGTTCCTCTGTGGGTGTACAGGGAGGTGTGGACTGGATGAGAAAACTGGCTTTCCGTTACCGAAAAGTGAGAGAAATCTATGATAAGCATAAAAGCAACGTGGGTGGTAAGTGTGGCATACAATCAGTCTGATTTTCTGTTTCCTTCTGATTTACTGCTTTCTTTTCCAGGAATTCCTTAGAACTCTCTGACAATTGTTTATGAATTTGTACCACAGTAACATTTTAATTCTATATTTTAAAACGTGGAGGTTTGATTAAAATCCTTTGGGGAGGAAGCTCTGCATTTCTGATGGACTTCTCTTAGCATAAGTTCAAAGCTCTCTTGTTCTTTTTTAGACAAATGCCTTTTTAAAGGAAATATGTTCCATTAATTCTATTTGATGACGTATTTTATTCTGGAGTCAAAACTGTCAGTACTAGTTAATAGGTTGCCTTATTGTTTTTTAACTAATATATCAGGACAAGTCATATATAACAAGTCACTAGGTGGTTTATAGTGGATGGAAAACTAGGTCCAGGAGTATAGGGTGGCAGTATCCATGTGTTGTGATTTGAAGGACCTTGGAAATTCTTTCTACCTAGAAATATCTCATGTCAGGTGCCATCAGGCCTGAATTCTATTATTTGGGATTAATTAGTGATAGATTGTCCAAATTAGAAGAGACATTAGATATCTATTGAGAAAGTTGCTGTCCATCTTGAAAGTAACAAGGGCAGATACCATAGCAAGTTAATTACCTACCACAGCTAGAATCCACATCCCTGAATTCTTGGTCCACTTTACATTCATGCAGTTCTTTTTCTAGTGATATACCATTATGAGAAAATATTTAAAATTGTAAGCCATCACCCTCAAACTTTTACATACACCTAAAATGTTGCATGAAGTTTCAAGGATTTCCTACACTGCCTAAAGGTATATTACCCTAGGTCAAGAGAATCCTCCTACAATACCATGCTACCGCTTTCTGTGCTGCAGAAAGTAAAAATAGGACTTTGAAAGTCAGTTTAGTTCATTTCTGTTACAGTCTTTCAATACCAGGTAAAAATCACAGGCAACTGGGCTTTGGGAGTCAAATTTAAGTGTCTGATTATTTTTTTTGCCTAGTAAATACCTGGACCTAATTTGCTGTAGAAAGTAATATAACCCTCTATAAGAATATCCACCTGTATTTTGTAAAAATTTTGAATTGTCAAAGTGCCACATCATATTATTAGTTAAGTAAAAGACATATGTGTTTATGTCATACATGCCATAGAGGTATTGGTTTTGTTTTATTAGAAACATTGAAAGTCATCTAATTCTAGGCTTGCATTGTGAAACCATCAATCTGAAAACAAATTATACGCAGTTCTAGTCCTCATAGAAATGCCTTCTATTTTTCTGGAATATTGGTAATAGATTACAGGATTTCTCTTCACTATAGAAAATTCAGGGCCAGATTTATTATTTGAATATTGTAACTCAAGTGTCTGATAACATGCTCTCATCAGATGAATTCTGTTTTGTTATGCTTAATTATCTGATCTTAAACAGTGTGTTGGTCTCTTACTCACTGGAGTTGTTTCAGAAGTAAATACAGTACAAGTACATGACATTCATAGAGGTGGTCATTCAACCTGGAATCTCAGGTTGATGTCTTCTGAAAGGGGTAAAGGAAAAGCACAGTCACCAGGAGAGGCAGTGGAAAGACTTTTGAGACCAAAAGCCACTAACTTTCTGTGTAATCTTAGCAGCCCTTTCCTCCCTGGGTTCTGGTTTCTTTAGAAAGAGATTGGAATGGTGCAGACTCTTCTTTTAGCTCTAACACTTATTTTTCCCCTTTGGTTCTTGAGCCCATGTCTAAATCAGTGCTACTCAGGGAATGGTCCACCAGTCTGCAGATTCTGCTGCTGATTCATGATGAAAGAGCTTGTGTCAGAATCTAATCATATTGTTTCCTCAGCTGGTTTTGTTGTGCCTGGTAGCAAACATTCTGATGAAGAAAGTGAAAAAGATATTTTGAGCAGACTACTCTAGCGTTTTACTAAGAAGAGAACTGTATTAGTTCAGTAGAAATTTTAATGACACACTATTTCTCAATTGAATTCTAGAACTTGTTTCGTGGATGTCAGCAAGGATATGTTGTCAAATGATAAATGTGTCTGCTTTTATTCCCAAAGGCCTTCTCAGTCCCCAGAGAAAAGAAGCACTGCAGAGACTAAGAGCAGAAATTGAAGTTTTAACAGATTCCTGGTTAGGTACTGCATTAAAGTCCTTACTTCTCATCAAGTCCAGGTATGAAAATGGTTCCTTTAGGTCTCATCCGCTCAGAGACACACTCTTTCCTACACCAGTTTAGGACAAGCCATTCCCAAAATAGGATGTGGGGTGGGGAGAGAGGAGTTTAAGTGAAGCAAGGAAGTATGTAGTAGGTTAGTGGGAGGCAGAGCCATTTTATACTAATAACACACCTTAGAGTTTTAAGAGAATAAATATGAAAGCCTTTTTCTTTCCCTTTCTTTTTTTTTTAATATTTTTTTATTGATTTGAGAGAAAGAGAGAGAAACGTTGATCGGCTGCTCCTGCATGCCCTCACTGGGGATCCAGCCAGCAACCCAGGCATGTGCCCTGACCAGGAATCAAACTGGTGACCTCTTGGTGCATGGGACAATGTTCAATCAACGAAGCCACACCAGCCAGGGCTTCCCCTTACTTTTTGCGCACAAAATTAAAACTCAGTAAATCATAATCTCCAGCCCAGGAGTTGGACCTGGTGACATCAAAGGATACATATAGGAGACATATCTCAAATATCCTAAGTACAGGAAGCTTCAAAAAAATGTACCAAAACTTACTCAGGAAGGCAGGACTCAAAAGAAAAGGATACATTAAGCAGATTAAGGAGATTTCAGTTTAAAGCTGATAATGGGAAATAAATACAGTCATAATTGTATCTAAATCTCTTACTGATTTCTTCCTCAAAACAGGAATTCCAGACCTATAACCTAATAGAGCAAACATTAAAACTGACACAGGTTATTCAGTGAAGTTTATAAAGGACCTGTGAAATTAATGTGTATTCTGGAATCTATGTTGCTATTACATGAAGAACAGAGAAGACTTAAATCATATCTCATTAAGAACTGGGTTGCATTCGGATGAAATAGCACTGTAACTGAAAGTCTGTCATTTGTTTCCTAGAGAGTAGTATCAATGACATGGGTTGGTGGTAATTGCTAACAAGTGCAGTGAGCGAATTATCAGAGGGAAATGAGGCAAGAATCAAGTTGCTGCTCTGTGCCCACTATAGAATCTCTGTCCTTTAATATGGAAAGTAAGTAAACCTGAGATAATTAGAACAATAACTGAACATTGACATTGAACAAATATCATTACCAGGCCCTTTAAGGTTAATTTTTAATGGTTAGATCTAAAGGTCACATCCTGGGTTTGTTCACCCTTTTCTTTTCTCTCCTTATTTCTCCCTTCTAGGAAGAATTGTGTGAATGTTCTCATCACTACAACCCAGCTGGTTCCAGCTCTGGCCAAGGTTCTCCTATATGGGCTTGGAGAAATATTTCCTATTGAAAACATCTATAGTGCTACCAAAATTGGTATGGTTTCTATTCAGTTTCTTATCACTTGCCTTACAATAATATTTCCTACTATGATGTACTTATTATTTACCAGTTCCTCTGTTAGACATATATATATGTCTATCTCCTCACAACAGTCTTCTGATATTACTGATGAGGCAGTTCAGGCTTAACAGTTATGTAGCTTGCACAAGACTTCACAGATAGTAAGTTACATAAACAGGATTCAAATCCAGATCTGTGGGACTTTGTTCTTTTCCTTTATAATATTTGAAAGGACATAATATCTAGTTTAGAAATCTACTTTTGCCTCATTTCAGATTTCTTTTTCGCATAGAGAGCGCTGCAATATAGTATAATAGAAAAATCACAACTGAAGAAGGTGGCAGAGCAGGGAAATAAAGTATAAGAGATGGCAAAGAAAAAGGAAAGATTAACTGAAGAAGGTGGCAAAAGCAGGGAAATAAAGTATAAGAGATGGCAAAGAAAAAGGAAAGAAAACAATTTCCTTTTTATTTATTTCTGCAAATAAAAAGCAGTATCATCTGTGCATGTTTTATGTGTAGGTTCCAAATGGGATTTGAATTTTTATTACCGTATATCTAAAAACAGTCTGCAATGTATTGAAACACCCATTTCCCCAAGGTTAAGTTCAGTGATATAGTATCTCAGTTGCAGTTACAAAATATAATAGTGAAGAAATTCCAGATATGACAAATGTTGCTGCCATATTTATTGGTACTCTGGGGTTCCTCCCCTACTGAAAGCCATAAGGCTCATTCATGCCCAGGACTGTTTCTGGAAAATAAAAAATTGGAGGGAAATGGCTGTTAGTCTGTTTCTTATTACTAACAAGAAATCGAGGCCTTATGCTCCCACTTTTCCCCCTACACTAAAATAGTTTCCCCTCAAAAAATATCCTTTCACAATGTCCAGAGCCTAGACTTGGAATCAGGAGCCCAAAGTCTAGCTATAAACTGGTTTGGATCTGGGCAAGTCACTAGTCCCATTTCATCTGTTAAAATAGGGTACGGTACCTATCTCACTGGATTATTTTGAGAATTAAGTAAGGAATAACTTGAAAACTGCTTTGTAAGCTGTCAAGTACAGGAGATGTGGAAAAGGGAAGTGGTGCTCACAGTTCTCACACTGCCTCGGCCACTTAGCCTCCCATTTATAGATGCAGAGAGCCTACTGGGATCTCTAGCTGCCCCCGCTACTCCTCACCAAGCAAACTTCAGGGGCTGCCACTTACTTTGTCTGTGCACAGGCTGGTGAACCTAGCAGCAGCCTTTTCTTTGCTGTTGAAAAAAAGGTAGGACAGGATGTCCTAATAGGAAATTGCTTTATCTCATCAGGTAAAGAGAGCTGCTTTGAGAGAATTGTGTCAAGGTTTGGAAAGAAAGTCACATACGTAGTGATTGGAGATGGACGAGATGAAGAAATTGCAGCCAAACAGGTAATCATGGTAAAGAAAATGTGGGAATTTCAGGACCTATTGCTCTCATTTGTGTATGCTTTGGAAAGGGAAAGAAATTCTAAGGAGAATCTGAACCTGACTTCAGTGTACTTCCTTGGATCAGTTATCTACTTGGAGAGGTAGTGACCTTCATTCAGAAACTTTTTTGTTTTGTTTTGTTAGTTTTTTCAGTTTTTACAGAGGACATCGGACCTTTGAATTGTCTAATAACACACATTGATGACAACACAAAAAATCTGTAGTTCAGGGTAATGTGGGAGCATAAAATATTAACTCGTTGTTTGCTGCAATGTTAGCTCAGAAGTAATGTTTTGGGAAGACTGACCAGAGAATTTATTGTCTGTAGAGGATGCTGTGGAGTGCCGCCCAGACCCCCAGCAGGACTGAGGCACTCATTTCCTTAACCACTCCCTGCTCTTGGCTGCTGTGGGCTCACAGTTTCTCCCCCAGAATTGCCCTCAGCGGAAGTTACATCACCTTCCCAGAGACACCTTGCTTCCAGTTACTGGTGGGGGTAGAGACACAGCTCTAGTCTCCATCCCTCATCTCTGAAGGGTGATCCAGCTCCAGCATGCTCTCTGGGATGGATTAGCATCTCGCCAGCAGCTGTGTTACAGTTCCGTTTCAGGCAGTGCATTCTAAAGAGCATGAGACTTAGCTGTGAAAAGGCAAATAATTCTGACTTTTCCAGGCTTCAGATTCTCAAAAACCATTGCAATCAATGGGGAGTTGTTTGGAGAAAGTTCTTTCTGCTTCTGAGCCCTGGAGAGTTTGTTCTGATGTTAACCTCCTCACTATGCAGGCCCAGCTTCAGGTTGTCTCTTCTTAAAACAGGAAACAGATGAAAGAGTCCTGACTATGTAATCTAAAATCACACCCTTTCAGATCTGAATCATCTATTAGCTGTGTGAATAATTTACTTACCTCATCTGCTAAATGGATCTACAGAAGTTCTTTCCCTTCTACTCCAGCTTTCTTCTAGCAACTCTATTTCTTAAACTTGGAGGCAGTGAGTTAACAACTAGGACCACTGTCCTAATTTTCTTCATTCAGTAGCATGCAAACCTTCAGGAACTATTAATGAACTATGAGAATGGAGGTAATCAGTTGGCAATATTAACACATTATGTTTTCATTTGCCACTTTATGTAGCAATTCAAGGACCTTTATTTTTTTCACATGTGTTATCTTTGGAGTTTTGATTCTTTTTATTTTAGCTGCTTGTCCAATAAGTTTATTGTCTGTCTGAAAAATCTTCATAGAAAATTGTGGTTTGGTTTATTAGCTCTCAGCAGCCCGTTCCTGAGCTCTGAGGAAGCATGCTTTCTTCTGAGCTACCCGATCTTTATTCTGGGCAAGAGACATTTTGAGATGGTTCCACCTCCTCTTTTTAACCTCCTTCTTAGGCTTCTTCTCATAGACCGGATTATCTCATACAGCAGCATGAGTTTCCTTTTTTTTAAAAATATATTTTTATTGCCCTGGCTGGTTAGGCTCAGTGGATAGAGTGTCAGCCTGCGGACTGAAGGGTCCTGGGTTCAATTACAATCAAGGGCACATGCCCGGGTTGCGGGCTCGGTCCCCAGTAGGGGGCGTGCAGGAGGCAGCCAATCAATGATTCTCTCTCATCATTGAT